AAAAAAAAAAAAACAAGTGACTTTAATCATTAACACCTCCATCGTTTATTTATTTAAAATATTATCATCAATAGCAGCACCAGCAACAACAGCAACAACGATGAGTGTACAAACGACGGCTTCTAAGTTTTGGTGTCATTAACGACAGAAGAAAACAATTTTTAACACTGCTGATTCCTTCACTGCAATATTATCCCGTCAATCATTTAGTGCCATGTCAACGTTTCCTATATGTCGTCGGTCGTCATTAGGTAACACAGTCAACATCAGGTGGGTTAGACTAGTTTTGCGAGAACTGCCACCATTAAAACTTCCTGTCCGTTGAATAAATGATAATATTTTACGTTTCTGTTTTAGTGTCTGATGGTGTCTGTTGGTGTCTGTGTGTTCCTATTTGTTTCTGCATGTGCCCATCTGGCATGTTATTATATATTTTGTGACATTTCTAGTCACAAAATATAACACCAAACCAAACCAAAAACAAAAAAAAAAAACTTCACAAAACAACTGCCAGTTACACATATCTATCGAAGAAAAAAAAATGGAAAAAAAACTGATAAATAAAAGGAGTTTTTTTTGACAACTTCACTCTTTTTATGTATCAGCAAAAAAAAAAAAAAAATAACTAACTGTCATTTGGAAGACAACAGAGACAGTGAAACAAAAATGCTAAAAGAAAAAAAAAACCTCATTATCAAGTTGATTTCAAAAAGAAAAGGAAAGAAAGGAAGAGAGCTAAAATTACCAATTTTTAATCAAATTTTATATTGCATGAATTGATAAACACATAACTTTTAAAGGTCTGTTTTACACTGCCCTACCAAAAATAGCGGAATAAATGTGTGTATTTTAAAAAGAATGGAAATGAAAAAAAAAGAAAACATGGGTGAAAATATATTACAAGTTGTTTAAGGAGAACTTCCCCAGGTTTATTAGTCTTAAATTTATGTGTTTTTAAGTTTCAAGATAAGTATTGTGTTTTACTGCAAATACCAACGTTGATCTCTATTGCAGAGGTTTTTTTTTTTTTGTCGTTTGATACTTCAGGTGCTATTCAAAAACAGTATATATATTGCATATATAGAAATGTATAAATGATATGTACCTATTCATATGTACTCAAGGAAATGCATTGATGACAACTGCTGGCTGAATATTCCTCAGTCTTT